AGAAAAATCTTCAAGGATTTCACCAATTTGTGCTGAAATACCAAGCTGTCTGGCAAGCTGTGTCATATGATAAAACACTGGCATGGCTGTTAAGGAGAGATCTACTCCACAAGTAGAAATTTATGCCTAGAACTACAAAACTGGAAAAAATACCATGTTCTTAGAAGTTCATAGATGTTTTGGGGAAATCATTTATGGTTTGCTAAACAGACATGTTGTTAAACTGCATCCTAAATGTTTATATTTATACTCAGAGATCAGTGATAATTTCAGCCTTAGTTAGAGAAGCATTTTGTCATGGGTGCAGTTAATGCAGAAACCTAACAGCCTCTTATCCATAAAATGGACATCTGTATCACCCTCTAAAAGGCTCAGGGAACATCTCAGAAGATGGACTGTAAAGTATGAGAGCTAGGGGATGGAAATAACCTGGCTAGCACACCCATCAAGTCACAGTAACTGTCCTTACCTGCACAAGGCCTACACAAGTTTGGGACTTTTAACATCACATCATGAATAGGGAAGAGGCTTGCAAGGTACTATACTTCCCTGAGGATCCACTGGCAGGTAATGTCTACCATGGGAGAGTGTTCCTTTTCTTCAGTGGTGTAGCTACAGATTAGTTGTCTACAACTCAATAAATAACATGTGCCCCCCAACCATGCTACTGTGAGAATGGTAATTAAACTCAAGGATTCATAATAAAGAAACATAAGTAGGATAGGAAGATGTTGAGAATATGAAGGGGCTCGGGGGAGTGAAAGGGTGATAATAGAGGGTAATAGATGGAATAGGATCTATTATATATGTATATATATGAAATTTTCCAATGCTTTTTAAAAATCCTTATGCTATATCACAAAATTTCCTCCAAAATTTGTTAAATTTTTATCCCTTCCTCTCCCTTACCTGTGAATGTGGCACTGTATGTATAATCAAGATAAGATGAGCGGATTATGTAGATCCTAATCTGGTATTACTTATTAGCTGAGAATAGAAGCAAGAATACGCAAGAGGGGTGACATATAATGATAGAGCAGAGTGAAGGATGCACCTCCAAGACAAGAAATGGGATGGTTTTCTGACCACTAGCTACAAACAGATAACATGGAACAGACCCTCCCCTGAACTCTCCAAAGTGACTGCACTCCTTCCAAATAGTGGATTTCAGCTTTATAACTTCCACGTTGATTGTGAAATACATGCCTGACTACAAAGGCATCTAGTTTCTGCAAATTTTCTATAGCAATGCTAAGCCAAACACATCTTTCCTGTCATCACCCTAGAACAAGGAGGAATAATCTGATGGAGGTAGGACCAAAGTTACAGAGAAGTGTTCAACTCAGTACTGTCCACACTGACCTCAGGCAGCAGCTGTACACAATAGCTAGAATCACTCCTCACCAACTGGGTCAGTCTCCCACAGCAGGAGCACCAGCAAAAGTACAACCAGTCCTGACAGTGAATTCTGACTACCTCAGACTCAACTTGCTTTTACATACAGCAGCCACCACAGAATCAATATTTCCAAAGAACAAGTTGTGGGGCGACAAAATGGATTAGCAGGTAAAGCATCAGTTGCCAAGCCTGAAAACCTGAGTTCGTTATCTGAATCCACTTGTTGAAAACAATGAACCTACTCTTTCACATTGCCGTTGACCTCCACAAAAGCCTTGATACATACATGCTCAAACCTATACACACATGTGTACGTATGCTCATAAAAAATAAGATGTAAATAACAATTAAAAACAGCAAGTGTACAACATGTACAAATAGATGGAGTTTTCTTTTTCTTTCATTTTAAAGTTTTACATGTGCATGCTTGTGTATGTGTGCATACCTGTCTTCTGTGTGCACATGAGTATGCTTGTGCCTGTTTGCAGAGGACAACCTTGGAGGCCAGAGTCAGGAAGACCATCCACTTCCTTGGGGACAGGGTCTGCTATTGTCCTATAGCTCACTAATTAGACTGGATAGATGGTCAGCATGCCTAGGGAATCCTCTTGTACCTGACTACCCAGTGCTGTGGTTAGAGATATGAGCAACATGCTTGGCTTTTAAGGGTTTATGGATTGGGATGAGCTCCCCACTCATTTTCACAAAGCAAGAAATTTATTAATGAGCTATATCTCCAGTTGACAGATAAATATTTCATCAGAATATATATGAGTATATCTATATGCATATGTAAACTATATACAAATTTTATAAATATACATATGTATCTATGTATCTGTATATGCAAAATATAAATACTAGAGAAAAGCACATTACTATAGATGAAGAATGCATTTTGCAGGATAATTAGAATATTTGATGATACATGAATAGGACAGTAGAAAGTACCTGTACTGAAATTAAAAAGAAAAGAAAAACAGCAGTAATATTACCTAACAGAGCATTGATGGTTGTTGAATCGTAACAAATGGCCTATTACACATGCAATTTAAATCCCAGAATTAAAATAACTAAAAGAAGGGAAAGAACATTGCACAAAGAATTGCTGATAATAACTTTCCACAAGCATTTGTACAAATGGAACTTTTTTAGTGTGCCTGATTATATGATATTTTGCACTCAAGATATTCATAGTTTTGTAGAACTAAAATTTGATAAGCACAAATTAAGTACCACATAGAAGGCCATGGTTCTGGGTTTATTTGCAGTTGCCTTAATTTTTAAATTAATTTTTATTAGCCTATGTATTTATTGTACAGATGTTTCAAAAAGGCTGTTTCTTTCTGATGTAGTATGTATTGCAGACCAATTTAAAAATTAATCTGAATATAAATTGAACACAAATAGAAAATTTTCATTAGTGTACCAAAGAAACTTAATAAAATGGCTTTATGCTTTAATATTAACAGGTGGGAGCTGTGCAATATGCTTCATCACTAATACTGAAAATTATCATTTGAAGTAGTTGGCTTTGAGCCCAAGCAAAATGTTTATTTTGAGTGAGGCATGGTTGGTCAAATTTTTTTTTTTAATTTAGTTCAGGAAGAAATTCAGAATATGAATATCATGTTGACATTTAGAATGCACTATTCTCTATTAATACTATTTTAATGATACTAGATGACAATAAGTTTATATTGAATGGGTGAGGCCTGTTAATTATGAGCTCAATAACTTTGCCCAATGAAATGAGTATTGGAAGAGGCTTTGCAAATAAATTTTATATCCCGGCCTTTTTTTAGTTTTAGTTTTGCATTATGCAAATTTAAGTATTATTAAAAGGAATAAAGAGGAAACCCTGCAAAACCCTCATAGTAGCTCTCATATTCAGATAGGTAATTCTCATATAATTATGCATATTAGCTTAAATAATATTTCATCCCTTTCATATTCTGACTGGAGATTGCATTATTTAAAATACTAAACAGAAATTTATTGAAGATGAGACATTTTTAGAGACAGCTATAAGCCTGCATGCTGGAAAACTATGAGACTGAGGATTGCTACGAACAAAATATCCATTCAAATCGAAAGCCACTTTCTGGGTGTAGATGAATTGGATCGTCAGATTCCAAGATAATCTTACAGTATATCTCCATAATGTCACTGATGTTCTTAACCATAATTATCTAATTGACTCCTCATAATTATACTTTGTGATGCAGTTCCATTATTAAAACGCTTCCTATTTGAAATATTTCATTCCAAGTGTTATAAAAATCTGTTTGGTTTCTGCTCTAATGGATGTTATATCTGCATCCAGCATTTCCAGATAGTGAGTCCCGACACCTTCTCTCATTTAAATGACGGTATTAGCTGTTTTAAATGAAGTAAATGTTCTTCAAAGCATTATAAATTATACTTTAAGTATCTGATAATGTGTTTAAATGGGCAACACACCAACAATGTCTTGGGGAATCAATAATGATGCTTAATTCAATCTACTGCTGCTCTGCTAGCTAGTAGCATTTAAAAATTTAAGCGTATTTAAGCTGTTGAGAAATTTCCTTGCATTTTAAATAGGCACTTTTATAGCAACCTTTTTCCTTCTTTAAAAGCAAAAGTCTCATTGTGCTTTTCTCTTCGTTCTTTGTTTTGTTTTTCTCCTTCTGAGAACACCTACCTTAGTCAACCATTTGTTACTGACGGTTCTGACAGAACAGAATCAGGTTCAGTCACCAGAGATAACTGCAGGGAACATTTTGGGTAGAATCAGGGTGCAACCTTTATAGTAATAGAGATCAGTCATACAGAAGAGAAAACCTTGCATTCCACTGGTGTAAAAACATAGCTGTAAACAACAGTGAATCAGTTTGGGAGAATACAAAACATTGTATTTATCAGACAATGTTCTGCCTATTAACTGACAGACAGCAGATTAAATCTTAGGTTCAGTTAAATTTTTCTTCATTCTGTCACTACATTAAATTAGATTTGAAAACAACTAATTAGAATCTTACACTTCTATCAATTTACATTCCTGCCAGTGAGTTAACCATCAATTAGACAAACGACAGCATATCAGCTTTTTATTATAAATAATAATAAAGCACTGAGGAAGCTGTGAAATCTATGTTTCATAGTTCAGGCTTGCTTGTGTTTCAGTTATGCTTCATCAGGGATTTAGGAAAAAAGGACATTTCATATTTAAACATATTTTCATATATATGAATGTTTGCATATGAGTCTATCAGTCTCTATCATCTATATCACTTATCTATCATTGATTGTGTATCTATCTATCTACCTAATATTAACTATCATCTATTTGTCTATGTCTATCTATAACTTATTATTATTTATCATCTATCTATTCATTAAGTAAATGTAAATAATTATAGTCTTCCTGATAATTACCAAAAATATCAAGCAATTTCCTGGCATAAGCTTTTAGGTTCTAGCTTATTTATCAGAAACGTATGCTGTGTATAGAATTTGCAAAAACAGGCTTATATTCTTCTTGTGACAAATAGAGGGAATTTACAAATCTCCCAATCCAAGGATGTCTGTCAAAATATAACCCCCCCTTTCTTTAGAATATTGTTTGAGCCTATATAATGTGTCTCTCTTGGGAAAGAAAATACCAGAATAGGTTTGATTTTCTTTCTAAAGCAAGCTCAAATTGTGTCAGATAGTTTTGTTCATCTGCCACAGAGTGTTGCTTGCAATCATTATTCTTTTATAAATGAAAATTTAAGAGATGGTTTCAAGCTAAATTAAAAGAAAGATATAAATTGTGTTTAATATAGTGTGTATTTTCATAAGTTAATATTTTAGGCAATTCAATCTGTTATGCTATTATGTTTAAAATCCTCTCTAATTCTGGCTTCCTAATTGAGTGACATGAACACCCACACATATTTTCAGAATTGGCTGTCCAAATAAAGCAGGTTCTACAAACACGGTTTTCTTTGTTAAAGATAAAGGTCAGTATTCTATTAACGAGCATTCTGAGTGCATTTTGTAAAGAGTAAAAAAGAAATGCTGTTTAAGACAACTTAACAATTGGTTTACACTAAAAAGGGACTTCTGAGGATTATCAACTAGGAAGTCAGGGGTTCTTTATATATTATAATTAGAAGAGCTTTTTATTACTAAAATTGGAATTTTTCACTTTGTATTTTAGCATGGTGGTATTCAAAACTGAACATAAGTCAATAATACTTTTGAAAGGTTTCTCCTCTTAACAAGATAATGCCGTATCAGATTTTAGATTTTCAGATTTTATAACTCTAAAAGCATCCATCAAAGTGATTAGTCATATAAATTGCTTATTTATGTACTTTTATATGATATATCCTCACAACAATCATGATTTCACTTTTAAATTATTTGAAATCTTCAATCAGGTTCAGTAAATATAGGCTAGTACAATCTCACATGGAAAAATTTCTAACTCTACTGAACAGAATAATGAATGAATGATAGCACCTGGTCTCAAGATATTTATATTTTTATTAGACTTATATTTTTATTGAATAGGTTTATATATAATTTAATTTAAAATGTTTAGAAACCTGTAAGCATTATTATTCAAAGGATTAAATATGAAAACTATTTTCACTGTTAATTGTTAACAAGAATTGAATTTTGAAACTAATTTTGAATAGAATGTTTACTAACTATAATCCCATGTAGTAAATAATGTATGTACTATCCATGCATTATTTTACCTTATTTTCACAGTTTATTTTGGATAACTATTATTATTAGGAAAGTGAAATGAAGACAGATGATATGACTTGCTTTTTCTCATAATTACTGAAGCATAACTAAGTTACACCATTTTAATCCCAGCTCTTGGGAGGATCAAGCTCTTAGGAAGATCAAGAGTTCAAGGTCATCTTCAGCTTCATAAGGAATGGATGGATTTTGAGGCCAACTTGGGCTACATGAAACCCTGTCTCAGAGAGAGGAGAGAGAGAGAGAGAGAGAGAGAGAGAGATCAAACACATTGCAGCTTATAACAATATAGTTAGAGCGGCTGTAGAAATGTTTCCGGGGTTAAAAGCACTGCCTGATTTTGCAAAGGCCCAGGATTTGGTGAACACACATGATGGCTAATAACTGTCTGGAACTCCAGTTCCAGGGTATCTGACCCCCTCTTCTGGTCTCTGTGAGCTTTGCACAACATGGAAACACTTATATATAGGCAAGCAATGTACACTCATACACATAATTTTATTTTATGTTATTTATTATTTTTATGTGTATGAGTGTATTGCCTGCATGTATGTGAGTGCACCTATGTCATGCATTGTTACAGAGGTCAGAGAGGACTTCTGATTCCCCTGGAACTGGAGTTAAGGACAGTTTGTAGCCACCATGTGGGTTCTGGGACTCGAACCTGGGTTCTCTGCAAGAGCTGAGCCATCTCTCCATCCCCATACAAATATTTTTTTTTTAATTAAAAAAGTCTATATTAAATAAAAATTTTAAAAATAAGACTAAACAAATTCAGCAAGACAATCCTGGAGATATTGTGTGGAATTTAGCTTAGTGACTGAGTCCTATCTTAAAATGTATGGAAACATGGTTTTTATTCCAAGTAACTCTTAAAAAGAAATAATATTACATACAAATGAACAAATATAGATTTGGTGAGTATGCATAGTAAGACCAAAAAATTCATGAGATTAAATCATTAAATTAAATAAATGTATACAGAGATTTTTCCCTCTGACCTGTGACCTGTCTAGCCACATGCTCTTGGCACTGTTAATAGTATTAGGTATGGACCTCATTTTGTGAAGAAGGCCTTAAATCCAATTAGAAAGTAGTTAGTTACTCCCATAATATCTATGCCACTATTGCACCATTTGATATATTTGTCAAATTGGTTGATATTGTAGTTCACAGACTTCACAGCTGTGTTATGTTGAATGTTATCTTTCTCTGTCAGTAACATGCATAGCACCTTCTAGTACTGTGAAAGTCAGCCAGAAGAGATGAAGCTTTGATATCAGTACCAGATTGACTTACCTTGTTTGTTCTGAGACTCCAGTACGTAGTTCCATCAGCAATAGGGCCTTACTGTCAAGTGCTGGTGAATAAGCACTGCAGTAGCAATAGCCAGTATTTTTTTCAGGGTCTATGAGACCCCTTTAGTCAACAACTCCAAAAGAGTGAGACCATTCCTGGCATTGGACATCTATTGGGGTCACTGAACCCCTATTATAAAGTAACATAGGAAAGAATCTACTACTATCATATTGTTAAATAGCCATACTAAAAGCTAATTCATAATAACATTGTTGTACTCATAGATTATCAATCTCTCAGTTCTCACCAGAGAAAGTTGTTCTTGCAACAGACAGTACTTAACACAGAGACCCACAACTGGTCAACATGTAAAGTAAGTCTGTGGAGTGCTCAGCTCTAAATGGGACACCTACACTCCCTCACCTATCAGAGATCAATATCATTGCAGAAGAGGGGACAGAAATATTGTAAGACTCAGAGGTGAATTTAAGGAAATTGTTTTGTCTGGACATCGTAGAGCAGTTGCCCTATGAAAAACATCATTAATGACAGCATACATAAGACCTGTGCAAGCCCAAGGCAAACAAGGGCCCCTAATGGATAGGGCAGGGAGCCAGGAAGTCCCAGCCCTAGTTGAGTATCTATTAGCAATTGATTAATGCATAGTAAGACCAGCAAATTCATTAGATTAAATCATTAAATTAAATAAATGTGTACAGAGATTTTACTCTCTGGAAGTCAGTGTTCTTTATTTGTTTGATGCCTGGTATGTTGACCAGACTTTACTGGATAGACCCACAACCAAACACATTTTGGAAACAAAAATTAGAATCAATTACTTTAAAAAATAAAAGACAAATGATAATAGCATACATCATGAAGTCAGGGGGTAGTAAGTTAGCCATGGAGAGGGAAGAGGGTGTTTTAATATGATCAAAATGCATTTTATGGAATTATTGAATCAAAAATTATAATAAAAATAAGTAAATATGAGGATAAAACAGAAATCATTGGAAATAAAACATAAATGACAAGGACCTGGCATTTGCTAATTGACCTACTCAATCACATCATACTTCATAGACCATGAAATAAAAAGAAAAATCAAACCCATAACAACCTTTTCATTTTAAAATATTTTTATTTTTAAAAATATTTTGTTTTTAATTATGTAAAATTTTTATTCAATTTTTGTGTATTTAAAACAGAAAAAGTTAATCAACTTCACACCCCCTTCACTGGCACCTGTCCATGGCCCCATCCCACTGGAATTCATACATTCTATCATTTGTGCTTGGCCTATCATGTCAAGTTGGTATCCCTACACAATAACTTGTCCTTCAGTACAAGTTCATACACTAAGATCTAGTCAGCCTATCTAGACTCCCTCCATTTAAAAAGACCAACTCTTCCTCACCTAACAGTAATCAGCTGCCAATAATTATTTGACTTGATTTAACTAATTAAAAAAAATTAGAACTTTATTTTTTTTTATGTGTATGAGATTTTCATGCATGTGTTAAGTATACCAGTGCTTGCAGTGCCCACTAAGGCCAGAAGATGGCACCAGATACCCCAGAACTGGAGTTACAGACAGTTGTTAGCTGCCATGTGGTTGCTGGGAACTGAACCTGTGTTCTCTGCAAGAGAAGCCAGTGTTCTTAACTATTCAGCCATTACTCTAGTCCTGAGTAGTATAAATTTTTAACTGAAGTATTATTTCAAATTTCTAAGATGCCATGTCATTTATATTACATACTCCCCAGTTTTTATTTTTCATCATCTTATGATGATAATGAGTAATTTGTAATGCGAAATTTCCCCTAAAAATTATGCCTCCATATTTCTTTATTGCCCACTCTCAGCAGAGAACATCACCTTTGCTGTTGCCCATATTTTTAAGTTCTCTTTTATAATTTTTTATTGAATGTTTATGTATTTCATGTAGAACATCTTAATCATGTTTACACCCACTTCCCCATTGGCACCTCCCATAACCACCCCTGCACTGGAATTCATACATTCTGCCATTGTGTTAAGGTCTATCATGCCAAGTTAGTGTCCCCAGACATCCCTCAATGCAACTTCATCCACTAAAGTCTAATCTACCTTTCTAGTGTCCCTCCCTTTAAGAAGATCAACTCTTCATCACCCAGTAGTTATGAGCTGTCAATAAGTCAATAATTCTTCAGCTATGATTGAGGCTTGCTGCTCATGTCCACTATTCCATGCTGGGATTTTGTCTCTGAGTTTTTGTAGGTCTTGTGCATGCTGACATCATTGTTGTAGATTCATATGAGAAGGGTCCCAGAAGCCTGCAGGGCTCTAATTTCCATATGGTCTTGCACCTCCTCCCTGGCTCTTAGAATTTTTCTGCCCCTTCTTCTGCAATAGTCCCTGAGTCCTGGGTGGGTAGATTTTAAAAACTGAGTCTGGTCCAAGGACCCACACTCTTTAGACTCTTATTCTCTACATTTTGGCCATTTGTGCCCTTTTGTATTCCTGGCCCTGTTGCGTGAGGGAACTTCATTGATGAGAATTGATTCATTATTGATATCTTTTTCCCTTGTTCTATGTTCTGTGAGTCTTAGGTGTAGAGGTTGCATCCTAGATGTGACACTTTGGCTTGGGCAATTCATAGACAAACTCTGTGTAGGACCAGTTGTGGAACTCTGTAATAAC